GTAGCTATGGGAGACACTAACTTGGTCTTCATGGAGGCTGTTCATATGCTTCTTAAATTTTCCTCAAAATGAGACAGGTATCCTTTTTTCTCTTCAGACTGAGGAAGAACATATGGAAACTTCAGTACAGTGTTTTATCCATCTCTGTCTGCTGGGTAGGAGAGCTGTTATAATCAGATGAAAAACGTATTTGATATAGAGTGAAGATCTGATATAAAGTGAAGAGGTTATGAAAACATCCAAGATTATTTAATATACAGTTATGTCAGCTTGCTTTTGGGATGATTTTATATATTTTGTTTGGTCTGTAAAAGGACCTTCCATTTCATGGCCAGGCTGGGAAATCTTCTGCTTACCATTAAGACTCGGTCAGCTATGATGACAAACACTGAAAGATTTTCCCTAGCAAGCAGTGAAAATAAGCTGAGTCTATTGTTCCAGGGCCAGAAATACATCTGGAATTTGTCTGAAATTCTACCAATTTATCAGACACTGAGAAAATTCAGTCCATTTCTGATTTAGAAATGCATTTTTTTTTCTGCTTTCACTGAAATTCTCTGCGCTATAAAAAATCTCAGCCCTGATTTAGTTGGAATGGTCTCTACTTCCCTGCTTCATTGGACCTAATGCCTTCTTAACAACTTCTCTAAGATGTGATTGGATCATCTCGTGTTACATCCCAGCCTTATGTAAGAACTAGTATTTCACAGCTGAGCACGCTCAAGACAGTCTTGTTTTATTACCTATGACTGCTACTTAGCAACTCTGCCATTATTTGTTAGGAAGGATTAATTAATATTGTCTAGGCAACAGGCTCGAAAGTCACTACCGAAAGGATATCGAGTTGTGTCAGTTCTCAGGGTAAGGTTTTGAAGGTGCTGAAGAATGTATCTGGACTTAGCGTCACGGCTTTTAGCTGTGTTTTGTTGCACTGTCACGGTTCACTGGAGTTTTTTGGGGCTTAAAATCATACTGAACAACTGATGCTTTTGCAGTCTCACAGACCTGGTTTTTTCCACCAAAGCTGTGTTGCTTCTCAGGGTCTTGGTCTCACCTCTCATCTCTTAAGACTTGCCAGTATAAATTCAGAAATATCCTTATTAGCATCCACGTTATGGTGTTATGCTAAAGCCAGTATGACTTTGCGCAATGTTTCCTCGATGAATGCTTCTGAAAATATTTTCTTTGGGTAGATCTTCATGGTATAGGCAAAAGTAAGATGATACGACATGCCGTTTGGGGAACGTGCCTTCTCTAGCTGCCACCCAGCTGCTCCACAGTGCTCAGTGTGATGGGCATTGCTTTCATTTTTATGTCCATTTCAGTGTGGGTGTTTGTTTAAAAAGTTTCATGTGCTCTCATAGAAAAGTCTTCCACAAATGCAGTCCTTTTGTGGAAAATGAATGGGTGTTAAAATTACTTGTCAGCAGGGCAGGTTTGAACAAGGGTGCTTGCACACACCTATATCCACTACTGTGTAAGCCTGAAGTAATGAGCTACACCTGGTTACCATGAAAAAATAAAGTGCAGAACAAGAATGCGTTTCCTGCAGGATCCTCCTTTACTTTTTGCGAGTAGCTTTGGTTTTATCCTGAGACACAAGCATGGACTACTACTTCGCTACTGTTTTAAGTAAAGCTCAGAGACACTTGGAAGCAGGATGCTCCTAGTTATGTGACATTTTGTATTTTCCCAGTTCTGGTAACAGCTACTAATTAAGAGAAAAAAAGAATATTAGGATTACAGTCAGTTAGAAGATGCAACGTATTTTCAACTTTCTGTAGACGTGCCCTGCAAAGGGCTAGACCCTCAGCTGCAATGCAGTGGGTTGGTTTGAAAGTGGATGCTTTGAACATTATTTGCCACCTTCTCCCAGATTTGGGGGTTGCCGTGCTTTGCTTTCTGATGGCTAATACCTGCTGGATAAAATGGGTCGGCTTGCCCAGGACTGAGGACAAGCAACCAGCATGAGTCAAACCTTGAGCGCTTTGTACCCTGCCCTCTCCGCGTGGTAAACTAGTGAGATCTCACAAGCTTTAATATCCTCTCGCTACTGATGGTGCTCAGCTCCCAACTTGCCCAGGCCACCTCTGACTGGTTTCTCAGGCTTCAGCGTGGCTGTAGGTGAATGCTGAGATTTTCAGTGCGGTCTCAGGATTTTCAGCCGAGAAAAATCCCAGAAAGGAAAATTTGTGAATTTCTTGTGCTACTTTTTTCCTTCTAATTTTCTTGACATCTGCTTTCTTGCTCACTCCTGAATGGCAGAGGAGGAATGTAGTGGTTGGAGTTTTTTTTTTTGGTTGTGATCAGTCTCTTGCCAATATTAATGAAAATGCCTGGACTTAAAGACTAAGTAAGCACAGGAGTCACAGGAGATTTTATACTAGCTTTAAAAAATAAGTGTCAGAGGAAAAAAAGTACAGTTTGAAACCAATCATGTTGCCTCTCAGTATAATGTTATTTCCAAATTGAAACTCCAGATTAAAAAAAAAGAGGAGCACTCAGATCTTCCCAAGGAGAGTTTTTTTCCTGTGATGTTTCTTTGTGATGCTGCTGCATTTCTGCCTTGCGTAGCTTTTGTCATGCCTTTTAGCAAGAAGGTTAGGATCTCTCCATTCACCTTTTTTCCCATAGGTAGAGTACATAGCTACAGCCTGATCCTTTCTGTCCTAATATATATATATATATATACTTACAAACTGCAGGTTTTTTCCTTTCTGGTCTTCCAAAGGAAACAGCATGTCTTTGCAATAAGCTTTTCCAGAAATGTTCACCTACTTCAGTAGCTGTGAACAGTCAAGGAACAAGTGATGTGTCCGTTCCCCTCAACCCAGGTTCCCTCTCTCCATCCATCCTACCCTTCCTGCAACTTGTTCAAACTACTTGGTGACCTGTCTGTGTTGATGCTGAAAGCTGAAGGGTATTGTCTTGCAAAGAAGCAGCCGCTTGTGATAGAAATGTTTCCTGAAATCCAGGTAAAGCGGCTGCCTTGGGAGCACTAGTGCTCCAGCGTAAAGGTCAGTGCACCTCCAGCGAGTGTATCAGAAGTAATAAACCTGGTCAGATGCCCACGGGGCTCCGACTCAGCGCCCGTAAAGACTTCTTACGCAGTGGGCAAGCGAGCAAATGACGTACGGTGAAAGCCCACGGTAAAGGTGATGGTGTACCGTGACTTGCTTCCAAAGCATGGAGCTCTCGTGCTCCTCGTTGGACTTCTTCCCTCCAAGGGTATGACTTAAACACCGAGCCCCCCTCCTTTACCACATTGCCTTGGGTGAAACAGTTACCTCAACCCAGGCTGGGGAGCAAATATTTCACAGGGCAGGTTTCCTCTGAGGAACATTCTTGCCTTTTGCATCATCAAGACATGTCCCTGCTCAGAGGGAAGGAGGAGCTCCTCCGCGATCAAACTATCTCAACCATCGTGCGCCGAATCCATCCGGACCGGCCCTTCCCTAATTAGGGCAGCAGCCACCCCAAACACCTTCTCCGCCGATGGCCTCGCTGCTGCCTTCTGGCTGCCGCCCCTCGCCATCCCGGCGGCAGCGGCCCGGCCCCTCCTCCTCCCGCCGAAGCAGCTGGCCTTGTCTGCGCTGGCTCCCTCGCTCGACTTCCCCTCAAAACAGAAACGTGTCACCGGCGCGTTAACTTGTAGCGCAAATGAGTCGACTGGTTATTAAAGGGAAAAAACCCACACGGCTCGTGCATGGTCTGCACGTGCCTCCGTTCACCCACAGCCTCCGCGTGGGGCCAGGAGAGGGACTGGGGTGGTGGTCTTGGAAGGGTGCTCCGGGACGTTGCATTTTGGGGTCTAAAGATGGTCACTGAAATGGTGAAGAGTGAGTTTTAAGTTGAGGAGTGTTGCTGGAAGCACTTGGGTGCCTGGGTACAGTCGGAATGTGAGGAAACTGCTCACTGATGAAGATGGAAAGGAGCTAGAGGGCAGAGGCAGGAGGACTGTCACATTCCCAGGGCTGGAGAGCTGTTGGGAAGATAGGGTCACTTGGACTGTAGAGGATCTTGGGTGGTTGGAAGGAAGGTGACTCTGGGCAGAAGATTCTGGCAATGGGGTTGGTCACTAGGAAGAGGCTGTGAGAGGACAGGGCACCAATATTGGGATGGGGGAGTACTGGAGACAGTCACCAGTGGGGGGCTGAGCACAGAAGGGTGCTTGAGGTGACATCCCAGCAGTGCCGGGGTGGAGGTGGGAGGAGCTGACTGAGGTAGCACAAGGTGCACGATCCCCTCAGTTGCCTCCTTCATAGTTTCTCCTCATTTCTTATCCGAGATGAAAGCACAGGGCAGAGCGGGTGGCCCCAGGGGCGCTCACACATGCACTTCCTGCCTGCTTTCCTTAAGCAGACCCCCGTTCTCGTCCCAGCCCCACTGCCCCTCCTTCCAGCTTGCAGCTCTCTTTGCAAAGTTAGTAACTGTGATAACAAAGCGGGACCCTTGTGAAGAGGGAAGGCAGCCAGTGAAGTAGCCATCACAGCTTCTGTTTTCTGACAAGGGACACGCTGCCACTGCTGAAAACATGCTCAAGAGCAAAGCCCTTGTCCAGTGGTTGTATCCCAAATCCTGTTCCCCAGATGCAGACTGCTAAAATGGAAAAGAAATGCCCAGGGCCTGTTCTTGCTCGGGAAAGTCTTAGCACTCAACAGGGGTGACGGGAGGGTGGTTACACCAACTTGGTGTTGTACAACTCCAGTATTGTCCTTTCGCTCTAAAGGGACAGGACAGAGGGGTGCTGGCATCTTTACTAGGGTGAATTATGGTCTATTACTATCCCATCCCATTTAACGGTGTTAGCTGTTTCCTGGAATTCTCCATTTAGTCTTGAGTGGCAAATAAGATGAAAGGTGTTTCATATAAAATATTGCTGAAGGAAGGCACAAGCAAACAAGGCCATACAGGTAATGTTTTCAATTTATTTATATAAACAACTGCATTTTAAAAACATTCTTGTCCTACAAAAATAAAGTGAAAAACAATTCACAGAATTTAAAAATAAATAATCTCAAACATACATATTTATCATGAGCAACTTGAACCCAGCCAAACCCAGCAGGTTGGGTCACAGACAAGTGACTGGTGAAATGTGGTTGCAGAGTACAAAATGCAGAGTGAACATGATTCCTTTCTGAAGCAGCTTTTAACTCAAGTGACATGGTCTGAGGACTTTTAACTACCCCTGAAGAACTAAATCTGTCCAGACTTGTCTCCCTTTCACTCTAAGCCAAACACTTTTCCTTGTTAAAGGCAGAAGGGTGCTCCAAAGATGGATCTGAATGACAATTACACCTTTTAACAGTGTCCAAGCAGTTTTCACTTACTAGCATATACAGTACTGACCACCTTTTAATACAAGGTTATTGAAGTTTTTCCCTTCTTCATGCTTCAAATAGAAAAAGGAAAATAAATGCCCTTCTTTCTCCCAAAGCATTCATATCAAAGACCACCTCAAATCACTCACTGATATTGATCGTTATAGGAGATCTTGATTTGGCTATTCACACTAACAATCACACTTACACAGCATAAGGTAATCTGGGTCTCTAAACAAATCAGCAAACAGAAGTCACAGTCAAACTATACTACTGCCATAGCCAGTACAATGCACAAGCCTCTACAAATGTTTGAGAGATTCAGATGAAATATAAAACTCAAGTCCTTTTCCACAAGTAGTCAAGGAATATTGGGCAGGGGCACAGAATACCAGGCTGCTGATCTATTCCAGTCTGAAGTGACTTTTTCTTTTTACCTACAGTTCCTCAGCTGTTTTTATGGGAAGATCATCTTCTACATTTCCTCTCTAGAAATTAAAAAAAGATACCCTTATATGCAAACTTTGAAGTGCTGGTACAAGATCCCGTGTAACTTATGTGCCCAGATGAGACTAGATATTTTAGTGCTGGATCAGGACAAATACGTCTAGAAGATTTTGTGCTAGCTAGCCAGTTTTAATTAAGCTTAAGCCACTTACTTAAAATGCCTCTGTTTATAAGTTATAAACAAAACATTATCCCTCCTCCCCCAATAAACAGAACTAAATCACGAGTATGACTTGTGTACGTCGACATCAGCTACCTTCAAGTCCTGGTGCCGTGCACTTTTGCTAAACCCATTCTGCATTCATTCCTCCACTGCGTATGTTTACACAGCTCCTCAGGTTTCACTGTTCTCCAACAATCTCCATGCTATGGGTACACAAAGCTATACTACAGTTACACCCTTAACTAAAGCTATACTGTCCATTTGTCCTTAAATCGACAGAGATTAAAACTGTATTATCAAGTAGACCAGAGAACTACAGCTATGGAAAGAATACCAATACTTTGGACTAAGTTTAAGACCTCTGCAAACTTACACAATAAAACATCTGGATGAAAATACAAGCAGCCTTGTATTGCAGCTAAGCTCAGTACCTTATTATCATCCTCTTACACAAATAATACTTCTGTGACATATGCTTCAAAACCAGGTAGGATCCAGGAGTTCTATTTTCTTTAAATAATTAAATTAAAAAAGTATAATGCCACATGAAAGTAGATTTACACATTAAAAAACAACATATAAGTTACTATACAAAGTGCCTTAACCGCAATGAGGGAGAGGTAGTATCAACGATAAATGCGATGCATTTTCTGACTACATAAATAAGTGAGTCTCAAGTATATGTACTTTTTGTTAATCCTGGAGTGCTCATCTTGAATCAATAATCTTTTCTGGCAGTATTCATTAAGTCACTTTTGTAGTGTTATGTGGCCTATCAAGTGAAAAGACAAAAAACCCCACTAACGCCCTTTGTCAAGTATTAAAATAACATTAAAAAAGTTGGAACCTTTGTCCACTTTGGAATACATAGTTCTGTTACAGAAGACTGAACAAGGGATTCACCACTGTAGAGCTCAAAGGCACAAAAATCCCTTTTCTAAATAGAAGCCTTACCTCAGTAAGGAATCTAGGGCAACCTCCACAATAAAGATGCTCAAGTATTTTTTTTTTTGTTGTTTTTTTGCCCTTTTTTTTTAAACCCTTTAAGCCATAAATAGAATAAATTATATAATTAAATAAATAAATAGATGGATTTTTACAACTCAGCAGATCGCTCTTTCAGTAGTAGTGTGGGGTTGATATCTTCCATTGCTGTTTTTGAGGTACTAACATTAATAGTTGCCTCTGTGGGTTCAGGATTTAAGATGTGGAAAGCAGTGAAAGGACAGCCTTTCACGTTGTTGCAGATGAGCTTCTGTAAGGAGGCAGTATTGATTATTTCAAAGCCCACTTTCCCACCAAAGGTGCTAGGCTTCCAGTACTCAGGGGAGCAGATAGCATTTCCCATCAGTCCTTTCAGAGAGAATGGTGCTCCAATCTCCACCATCGTTTCACCGAAGATGGCACCTGGTCGTGGCTTTTCTACAAGAAGGCCTGGGTACAGCTCCATAGCATCAATGTCTCCATAAAGCTCTTGCAGTTCAGCTGCCATTTCTTTCTCTCCTGTAATTATTGAGGAGTAAAAACCGTAAGTGGAAAAATCCCATTTTCATTGCAAGACTATCCTGTTCAAGCCCAGTAGCAGCATTGCAGGACTTGATTAGCCATTTTAAGAAAAGGGCCCTTGTTTGTTAAGAAGGATGAAAACTGTTACCTGTAAGTTCTTCAAACGATTTGAATGGTTTCAGCATGAAGCGTTTCCTGTACTCGTTCAAGGACTGGTATCTCATTTGTCTGCTTTGGTCAATTGAAGCCTTTGCTACTTTCTGTACCGCAGCAGGAACATTCTTCCCACCAGCAACCTGTTTATTAAAGATGAAAAGTAGTAAGATCTCCTGGTAAGAGCAATGAGGAAGCTGTGCCTTTATAGTACATGACTAGCTTTGGATAATTTTAGTCTACCCCCTTGTCCCACCCCCAGTTTACGTCTCTTTTGGATCACTAGCAACTTAAAGTACCTACCCTGCCAGCACTTTGCTTGGAGAAAGATTTCACCATATGGGAAAGGCCGTGTTCCAACATTATAGAGTTGTTGTAGAGGAACTGCTGGAAAGTGTATTCCTGGTCGTGTATCTGGAAAGTGTCGGGCAGAAGCGGGTGCCAGTGGTAGAGAGTATTGAACTCGGCTGCAATCCGGTTCTGGTACTGAAATCGCTGGTTGAACAGCAGCTCAGGATCAAACTTGAGTTTGAAGTGGTAGCCACTCAAGTGTTGCACGTAGTCCTCAATAACGATCTTGATTGTCTCTCCTGTTGGTCAGTGAATCAGATGAGAATATTGGTATTGGTTGCCTGAGAAACTTTAGGTTTCTGAGAGGAAATACCATTTCTGAACTGTTCTAAAAAAATACTATAGTGATCAGGATAACAGACACTTCAACGCTCTGTAACCTCATCTAGAAAGTAATTAATACATTTTATGTGACTAAGGGGTGAAACATTGCCACAGACAAAAACTCTTGTGATCTTAAGTAGAGAAATGTCTTCCACAGCCTGCTTCCCACCCACAAGCTACACCTTCTTGTATGCTCCACAGAACAGCACACATCTGTGCTCAGTTATACAGTACTCTCCAGGATACAGATTGGGGATAAGGAAGAAAGTTGATATCTGAAAGCAACTCTCAGCTTCTGGGCTGCTTAATGTAATTGTCTTGGTTTACTGTTTCCATCAGTTCAGGCAAGGTCTTTTCAAGCTTAGTGTAACATCACCATTTACATAAGATGAAATACCACCGAACAGACAGTTAGACAGAAGTATGTAGAATTGTTTTACCTAACTTCCTGAACTTTAAACTTAATCACAGCTTTTCTTTTAAAGCATACCTGAACTGACACAACCCCGTGGAAAGAAACAGAAAAAAACCCACAGGATCTGAAAGTCTAAGGTCATCTAGCCCCACATGTGTTCTCTCCGAGAAATGAACCTTAGCTTCTCTCCTGCTTTTTCACTGCTTTCAGTTCCGTTTCCCTTAGATAAGGGAAATAAGTACCTCTTAGCTCAGTTTTCTTCAGTTCTGCTGTTAACACAGCTGGGAGGAAGCTGTCTCTCAGTACAACCCCAGTGATGGGTCTCAAATGCTCAGATGTATGCCCTCACACACCAATTTTAGTAATAGCTTTCCCTCGTACTACACCTACCACAGCTGCAGTAGATAATGGGTGGAAGTGTCACGCTCAAAGAGAAGGTTGGAGTTGCATGTAGCAGTGACACTTACCTATCAATATGAGTCTAGCAGTTTGGAACAGCTGCTCATCATCCCACTCTGGATGCTCCTGTTTCAGGACGTCACAGACCCGGTTGTGTTCCCTCAGCCATATTGTAGCATACATCATCAAGCCTGGGACCAAACCAAACACCTCCTGCCCAACAGAAAACTGCAAGTGTTCAGGTACGTGAGGAGGGTAGATCATCTCTGCCTGAGTGTCCTTCACTGTTGGCGGATACATTTCTCCATCAATCATCTGCCAGGGGAGAGGGGGAAAGAACAAAGAGTTGTAAGCTACGATGCTTATGAGTTGAGCTGTGCTGACTCTGTTAGTACTGACTTTAGGCTTACACTTTAGATCAACTACACCATGCACAAAGCACAAATTTTAGGAAGTATGTCATCCAATAAGGCAGGAATTTTAGGATAAGACATACCTGGTATTTTAACTTTCCGTCCTTTAGAAGTCTCAGTTTAAGTTGTCTCTCCAGAGTCTCTCCATAAATATGGTTCAAGTCAACCTATAAAATAAAAGCATTTCGAACATGAACCCAACTTGCATTTTTTGCTATTTTAGGGTATGTCCCACTTCTATGGATGCCAATAGGAGTTCATCCCTTAAATGTTTACTTTTTACTTATAAGTGTAACAATAATATAATTATCATGCACTGATATTTAAGATGAAGCCAAATTATTTCCTGTCAACTGGAGCCATCTTTGCGTAACAGCAAGTTGGTAAACTGGCTAGCAATTTAAAAGGACTCTGTTTAAAGCATCAGCAGCTTTCTATTATGCAGACAGTTATTTTTCTATACACACATATTTTATAGTTTTGTTTGACATACACATTACACTTATATTGAAGAAATCTTTGTCCAAAGGCTGCCTGTTTTGTAGCTAAAAAATCCTAAATCCAAGTCTACTTTTGAAGTTCTTTTTAAACTCTCTTCAGTTAGCAGCACACCAGACACTTTAGTGCTGGATACAGCTCTTTGCAACAGACAGAAAGAGTCCAGAGAAGTTCCAGGTACTCATTAGATCTAACATGCTTGAGGTGAAAGCAGATTCTTGGGAATAATAAAAAAGAGCCATAGAGATGGCTGCACAGATATTTTAAACAGAACCACATGCTTTGCACGAGCGGTTCTGACCCAGGAAGAGATGTTATCGAGTGCTGGAATTTTGCCTAAGGAGAAAGTACAGAAGCCCATCAGTTTGTGACAAACTGTGCTGTACAGTATGTGCACTGGTGTTTGTGCACCCGGCCAGCCTGTAAGACTCCATCCTAGCTGCTCAGTATCTCCTGTAAACTAAGTTAGAGCCTGTTCAAGTTAGAGCTGTGACCGTACCCCATGGCCAAGAGCTTTGGTGAAGCCAGGTCCTTTCTTGTGGTCCGTCTTAAAGAACTGATGAGTGAAGTGTTGGGCAAAGAATGTGAACATCACATTTGTGCCTTGTGGATCAGGAATAAATTTTTTCCTTAGCAAAAACTTCTCCACAATCAGCTTTGAATCTGGGAGCTCTTTTTTACCTGTGAGAGAAAGAAACAGTGAGATATTCAAGACAACTATGTTTATGCAATACTTAAGCCTTTTTGTTGTCCAAAACAAAATTTAAGACTTTCAATGTATTATTGAAAGATAGCAGCACACAAATAAGGGCAATTATCTGTTTTTCTATGCTTACTTTCTTGATTTTATTAGAAACTTTTAAATTGCCTGGTTTTAACTATTCTGGCTCATTAATGAGATAACATGCTATCTTCTAGGTCTTTACACAGTGTATCAACAACATGGCTATTCTTAATGTCAGCTACACTGGAAACAGGTTATAGACAAGCAGGTCTCATGGTATTTTCTAAGAGAAGCAGAAATTCCTAGAAAAGAACATTACACATCTGGTTTATTCCTCACCTTTAACACCCATTGGTGTTGGACAGTCAAGTCCCACTGGTGGAAGGCTTCTTGTGTAATAGGAAAGATTGGAATAAGCTTCCCAGCTTTTATAACTATAATCACTATTGTAAGTTGGCGGGCTGTCAATCAAGTGTGATCTTGCTGAAAAAGAAAAGAAGTATTTAGTATTTTTTTGAGACTAAAATGTACAGTTTAAAAAAGCAATTCACAAGTCTGGATCTTTTCCATATATTTTGGCAGCAGTTGCACTGAGAAATTCCACACATGTCTGCTACTGATGTTAAATGGGATTACAGCTACTGAATAAGAGGACCGGGTCCTGAATTATCAGATGAATCTAACTATTAACATGAGCAATTTGGTGCAAAGTTTATACTAGCAAAATCCTGGATTCTATTAGAGATTAGAGCAAAATGCATTTCCAATTCAAAGCATGTTTCATATGAGTCTGCATCATGCAGAAATCTTAAATTCTGGTTAGTGCTTTTACCTTAGTGGGTTTTAGCTTGCTGACTTTATATATGGACCCACCAAGTCCAATATTCTGTATTCCTATGAATAACTTTTCCCAGTCAAGGAGAGAGAACTCATACTTACACGTTAATACATATCTCATAATAGCATCTCGTAGGAAGGGAATGTTGTTGATGATATTCCAGGCTCCTTTGAAGTGGGTGAGGATGTAGTGGACAGTATTTGGTGAAGGTTTCAATGTTAGCCTCAGCCATGTGAAGAATTCCGCTGTGAATATCGACAGAAAGATTATTGCAAATTAGCTATTGAGAATAATCTGCAATCCTGGAACTGAATCCTCAGGTTTCATTTCCACAAGAGATTTAAGATACTCACGTGTCGTACAGTTTTCCCCGTAATATCCTGTCCTTGTGCAGTCACATTCATACCGATCAAATCCTGTTGTTGTGCATACTCCTCTGTTCTGACAGGGGTTGGAGCAGCAAGGGTTGGCTGGAATGAAACCGAATGCTCCGATTAGCACCTTACGCAGCTACGCCAGTATTCCCATCTCACTAAACTAACTTTTCAAACTCGGGTAGAAAAAGCCCTATGGCTTCATGCTTCTCAGGAAGACAACAGAGAGCAAGCATCCATGCGCACCAGCCTTTGGACTACTACGGGTACTAGTTATTAATAAAAACGCAGGAATTTGTCTGTGTTTCCTGACAGCACTAAGCCTCCTCAGAAGGGTCGGAATATTTCACACAGGCCAGCGGAGGCCTGACATCCTTCCCACCGTACATCATGTATCTGAGAAGTCACGAGAGAATACAGAACTTAAATATAGATACATAATAAAATGAAACCTGAAGCTGAAAAGAAGAGAAAACCGGGCCGGACTCACCTGCGCGGCCGGCGGCCAGGAGCGCGGCCAGGAGGGCGCAGGGCAGCAACATGGCGCGGCGGGCTCTGGCTGCGGCTGGGGCTCCGCGGGTGCTCGGCGCCGGGAACCCAGTGCCGCTCCCAGGTAGGCGCCCGCCTATTTATTCCCGGCGCCGCGGGTGACTCACCCCTTTCCTCCGCCCGCCGGAAACTCACGACGTGGGGGATTTCGAGCCGCTGCTCGCCGGCCCGCCCCGTCGCCGCCGCCCGCTCCCACCTGCCGCGGGCCGGGGCCCTCCGCCCGCCCCCGGGGGCGGCTGAGGGGGCGGCGGCGTCACCCATCGCGCCTCAGCCGGGCCCCTGCCGCGGCTCCTCCCGCCGGGAGCCCCGGGCGGCGGGAGCTGAGGGGAGCACCCGCCTGAGGGGGAGGCGGGGGGGGGGGGGGGGCTGCTGGAGACCCCCCAGCCTTTCCGAGTCCCCGGCGGCCGCGGGGAGGAAGAGGAGGAAGAGGAGGAGGGGGAGGAGGAGGAGGAGGAGATGGTGATGGTGCCTCCGCGGAGGCGGCTCCTCAGCGCCCGGGCTGGCCCGGCGCCCCACGGCGCTGCCCGCGTCTCCTGAGGGCACGGCGCCTGCCCGCGGCTCGGGGCGGCCGTCTCGCGTGGTGCGTGGGCTCCGAGGAGGTGCCGGAAGAATCCACCCCCAGTGCTCCAGTGCTCTAACCCACCCCCCCAAAAAAAATGCCCCACTTTTTTTTTTTTTTTTTTTTTTTTCGTTTTCCATTTCAGCACCGCACCTGCCCGCAGTGGGGCCTGGCCGCTGGGTCTCCCCGCGCCCGCGGGAGAAAGCGCATTTTTCTGACTGGAAAAGTGCAACGAAAACATCTGCCAGCCGTCTGGAGGAATTCAGTGGGCATCAAGCAGGATGGCATTACTGTCCTACTGGCGTTTGGGTTTCCCCCTCTCTCTGACATAGCCTTGAGTGCTCTTGTGAACTGGGGTTTAGACTGTTAATGAGGTGATTTTAATATGTTAATTAAACAAGTGGTTGGAGGACTTTTTTCTCTGTATACATGAAAGGGGGACTCGCTGCACAGCACTTGTGTTGGAAGTGAATGCGCACAGAGGGGAGCAATAAATATTGAGCATATTCTATTTCTGAATATTTGTGTTTCTGATGAGACCAAGTCCTGTTATTAGGCATTTTATTTTGAAATGACCAGTGACTTTTCCCTAGTGCTTTTGCTCTAAAATACCCCCCACTGCACTGTAAACAAATCTGCTCATTTTCTTCAAACGCTGCACAGATTTTGCTATTTGAGGATGCTTTACCTTTTCGTCATAGATTTTTTTTTTTTTAATCAGTACACTCTAGTACTATTTTTACTCTTCATTGCACGTAAAAAATGTATTATGAAACAAGTAGTATGTAATACAGTTGTGTAATTCTCTACAGCGTGGTGCTGAGGGCCTTCTGCAGCCTCTCCATCCCTCACACTTTCACCCTTGATGTCAGCATTAAACACCAAAAAAATCCATTGCTGTTTCCCTAAAGATATCTTTTGAGGTTCAACGCCACTTGTGTTTAAATTGCAAATCGGTGACTTTACAGAAAGTGGATTTGGTCCAGTTTAAACAAAATCTTATTTTTGGCCCAGAAGACTTGTGGTTGGTGAATAATTTGTATACATCAGTAGTAGGTCATCTGAGATGTTTTAGGGAATGGTGCATGAAAGTCTGTAATCACATTATTCTGGCATAGGAAAAGGCATATATTATATATTTACACACATACGTGTAAAGGAACTACTGGCCTTGGCCGTACGCTTGAGGCAGAGGCTGGCTGTCGGGAGCCTGTTCCTGCGTGAACCGTAGGTCACTGCAGGTTGTGGCTATGTGCAAGTCTTGTCACTGTTGCTCGGTCTTATCAATGTTTTGTTCCTGTGTTATGAGGTGTCATGAGCCAGACTGAGTTATTATGAAATGCTGGTAATGTTCTGAGGAATAGGGTATGGCATGCATGATGCCGTAGATCAAGGGTCTGGCCCCATAGATTATCTGTCCATTTTACACTGATTTTATTCTGTCTTGCAAAGCTTTTATTGATGCTAATGAATAACAAGACTTTACTGAAAACACTAGGTGAGTGAGACTCTACGTTTTGATAAGGTACACAGGAAAACGTAAATCCAGAAAAAGTTTCTAGGTTGTAGAAGCAGCAATGTTAAGGGGAAGACTGAACTAATTGTGTGCAGCTAGAGAATGATCCCTAGAATGGACCCTGGGGGTTTCGGTAGCTGATACTGCTTACAATTTTCAATTGTTATAAATAGCCAATGTGCAAACTGAGCAACAGGGCAGAACTTCAGCCTTGGCAGAGGACACTTCTCCTTGGGAAGTGGCACTTTTTGCAGCTGCAAAAACAGTCGGCACACTTCGCCTTCCACCCTGCCCTGCATATGGTGCAACGTGAGCTCTCTGTAAGTCTGTTTTCGGCTGGGGAAGGTCACTTGTGTGCCTGATAGCTGCAGTATAACTGAAAAGATTTTTCAGCTTTCCAAGATGATGGAACATCAGGGAGATGGGATAGTGCTGTTTTTCTGAAGGCAGCCCTTCCCCACTTGTTCTTTTCAGATTGTTTGTAATAAAGAACTGGTTATGTGTTGGAACGGGAATTTTTCTTAAAAGTTTGCTATGGCAGGATTCACCACCAGGTGGAGATTTTATGCATCAACTAACAAGTGCTCTCTTTTTTCTTTTATTTTAGCATATAAACTGTCTTTGCAAAAAATCAGTATTAATTTTTACTTCTGCTATAGTTATTTTAGGTACCTTTTGGTTCAGCTGAAAGCAGCCTGTGGAGCAGAGTAGCTTCCTCAGCCTCACCGTTTTAACACTGGCTGAAATTTCTGGAGCAGGTTACTCCCTGAGAGCTGTTTGTTTCTATTTTAGGTTTAACTACATGCGAAAGGTTACATATAGAGTATCTATCAAATTCATACCTCTTTGCTGAAGTCAGGTTACTGTTTCCCTAAGGCAAGGTGTCAGGACAAGCAATCCGTGAGGATTGACGTGCTCCCGTCATGCTGCCAAAAGAAGGGCAGGCGGGGTGGCAGCGGGGACAACGTTGTCCCCCAGCACGGGTGCAACTGTTTTTGCAGTGACTCCTGAAAATCCAAAGCAAACTCTGTGGTTCTAATAGTAATGATTTTTCTGGGATGGCATTTCTGTGGAAGGGAGATTGAGGCTTTGCAAAGCCTGTTGCATGTCTTCCTTGCAAGGCGCGTGCAGCCTTTAAAGCATAGTTTTCAAACCAACAAAATCTTTCCAGCAAATGCATCCTTCATCTCTGATTATTCTAATTCATTTTATCTGTAGCTATGGTTCAGTGAGAAAAGTTACTAAATTCCTCACTTCTCATCAGGAATATTTGCACCCCTGAAGTGAAATTTGGCTCTGCCATTCTGGGACGTTTCTGAACAACTGCACGTCAAAATTAACTCCCATTTCTATACATAGTGGAACATAGACTAATACAGAATTTTTTGCCACAATGGTAGGTAGAAGCCTGCATGACCTGGTTTTGACAGATTTTAAGAAGGCAGAGTGTCTGAATGCAGAAGGATTCACTGGGTATTACTGCCCTCTTTTGCTGGATATTTGTTTCTTACTGAATGACATGATAAATGATGAAGTGCAGCTCATTTTAACTCTTCTTACTGTTTAGATGGTAGCCTATTTGAGTACAAGCTTTATTAACTTAATAATCTACAATCCAAGCCACATAAAGCTCTGTTTTGTAACTAAACTTTGTCAGGGTAAGCTGTCATTAGAAATTGTTAAATAAAAGACAGGAAAAAAAAATTGAGTAATTTTAAGTAACTTGAATATAAAAAGATAAATGGATCATTTGGAATACTTTTTGTTCTTCCAAAACTTCCCGTTGTGGCTATCAAAAATGGAATTGAACAAATACTTGAACTGCCAGATTATATTGTGCTGTTAAAAAGTAATTTAAAAAATGACTTTGTCCTCAGACGCATGGGAATGACTCCCAGGGGCTTTCACTGTGAGCTGGATACTGTATGTGTCAGAGAAATGTCCTAAACTGGAAGGCAAGATGAATTAGGATTTATAAATTTGGGGAGGGGCCGGGGGGGGACAAGTAGTAAACACAAGGTGTTTATAATATTGCTACTTTCTAATCATAAATTACCTCCCTAAATTGGTTTTAAAATCAAATATTAAGAGTCTTAGTGCATTTTTCTTGCCGGCTCTTTTCTAACTGTCCTCTCTTTCTATATGCTCTAAGAACTTAAGGTTCTTAGGGGGCACGTGAGTTTATTCTTATTTTGCTTTGTATTTGGTGAAAATAACAAAATAACTTACTTTTAAGTTACAGACCTGTTAAAATTGTGCCCATAGAGAGAGAAAGCACTTTGTTGCATATCTTGAAGTATGCCTGGGAAGATTGCTTTTCCAGGAAAAAAGCCGCATCTTCTCACTAGTTCTGCTCGCTGAGGAGTTGATTGCACACTACGTTTTGCAGTTGAGACAAATTAGAGCACGAGTAGCTGTCTGGATGCCAGTATGATTCTGACTTCTGCCAAATTTCACCTGCACAGCAGGGTGTCTGGCCACTTCCAAGGTAAGGGTGACTAACAGGCTTTGACGGAGCTGTGCTGGTGTGGAAGTTCCAGGGAGTGAGCGTCAGAGTGCGGGGGCTGCTTGTGGTGGTCCTTGGTGAGGTGCTGATAAAGTGAGCTGCTCACCTCTACTTCAGTGAGCACCCACTATTTTTCTAAAACAGGGAGTAGATGATGCATAGTTCTATTTGTAGTTGCAATGATCCACGCCAGAGCCTTGTCAGGTTTACGTTCACCACGAGCTCAGAGGTGCAACATGCAGTCTATCACACCTGCTCCAAAGGAAGCGTGGTGTTTGTGACACAAGCAGAGAAACATGAGTGAAATATTTATAGGTACTCTATAAATCAGAAAGAAAGAAAACACGTCCCTGCCCATTGTTTGCATTTACAGGTTTCTATTAAAATGGAAAAGTCATCCAGCCAATAGATTGTATAGGATCTGTGCTAGATTGTATAGGATCCGTGCATTACGTGTAAAGGATATTGGTAAAGCAAAGACTTCTCATATCAGCTAGTTCAAAGGAGTGAATGTTATTGAAATCAGTGGGGTTGCCTGCACTTAAACTAGCAGTGAATTTATCTTCGAGCCTTTTCAATATGTTTCCAGTGTTTTCCCTTCCTTTGTGATTGTGGGAATCTCATCGTCATGTTTAACAGTGCAGTAATTTCCTGGCAAGCCAGCCAGTTTTATTTCTTCAGTCTGTACTTT